GACGGACCCCTCCGTGACCCCGACCATATTTCGACATCGACAGGGGGGTCCGTGACCCGTGACTGTCGAATTGATCGTAATAATGCAGTACTTGTTAGACAAGAAGACATCATTACGGGGGCTAACTCACGGTTTGAGGAGTCGGGGAGGAGGCCAATGATCTGGCCGCTCATGAAAACGGTGATGGTGTACAGGATGACGAGGTCGAGGTATTCCGGGGTTCTACCTAATTACGTTTGTGAATTCCAACAAATCCGAGGTAATGTACTCACAGAGCGTGAGACCAGTGAAGAGGCGGTTGCTGGTACGTGCGATGACTTCCATGATATTCGGCCGGACATGAAATTCTTTCCATGTTGTATTCGAATGAAGGTTATATCATGGGGAGTACTTAAGTATCCTGCAGCCGGACTGACCATTTCCCTCCAATGACAGCAAATCTTCAAAGGCATGCTCAATCTCGTCTCTCACCTCCGGGAAACACCAACCCAGGTTTCGTGTCAAGTTCCCGCGTATAGCATCTGCGTGGTAAGGATTTTTGGTAACCTCAGGGCCCATGGTGTACTACCAGGAGCCCGTAGACGAGCAGCATCTTAGTATCAATGTAGGTGGAGGATGGTGGGGAATCTAGGGTTCGCCGCCTCGTATCGAATGTTACGAGTACTTATGTAATCGTTTTTGATCAATCGATATGAGCGGTTGCATGCTAGTTGAAAAATGTCCCCCATTTGAGCGTGTAACGGATTTAGTGGCTGTGCTAATGTTTTTAGTGGCAGTGTTGAATCTTCATTAGTGGCTGTGCTCTTAATTCCCTTCAAACGGTGTGGCTTAATAGTGGCTGTGATTCGATAGTGTAATGCTCGCCTCTGGCAGCATGTGTTTACAGTGTTTACAGTTGTATATCACGCCTCTGTCTAATACAAGACTGAGGTGCGGCCGAAGCCGACCACGGCGGATCGTGTGGAATATGGCAGAGCGTCCTTTCACCACGTAGATCTTTCCATTTTCTCTCCAGGTAAATCTCTCCTGTTCCGCAAGTCTTCGCGTCAATCCATCATCAACCCCTTTCCCTTCATTTTCTTCGGCTTCTTGTGTCGGTTTTCTTCGCCATCTGGCGTTGCCAATCTCCCCAGATCCTGCCGGCGAGTCGTATCGCGGAGGTATGCCAGTCGGATGCGATGTGGTGGGCCAGTCATGTCTGAGAGAGTTTGTCGAGGCATGCAGCATTTCTTCTGGGCATGAGATTATCGATGTTGGGGAGATGGCCTAGGAAATAAGTGGAATAATGTAGCGGCCATATATCATCATTATCCGAGAAGAGGGACTTAGCTGCTGTGAGGAGGTTGACATGGTCGATGTTTTTCTCCTTGAGCTTACTGTTGGTGCGTCGGAGAAGCTCGTCGGCGGCTTTGTTCGATCCGCTCCTCAGGCAATTTAGTTTTATCGAGCTTCATTCATTTTACATCGCAGTATCTCGCGGTCATATATGGATGGCAACAACCCAGTTGGATTCTATTAAGACTGAAAAACAAAGAGAACATGAATTACGCACTCACGGATCGAGAAGGTCGAGCATGGAGGGAGTTGCCAAGCGTTCCAAAGCTTGCCGCGCGGGAATTTGATCCGGTGCGGGTGTCCGCTAATTCGCGTGATGGTGTACGAATGATCGGCAGATGCAGCCGGCGGCGCGCCGGGCCGGTATTCTCTCGCTTGCTGTTAGCCTTCATGTCGATGATTCGCCGCTCTCTAGTTGCTATACAAACATTCAACGTTCAATGCCCGGGCTTTCAGTCATGTTCGTCACGACTCCACTATCCTGCACCCTCAATGTCGCCATCCACATCTTCGTGTCACAACAATATTTATTGTCTCTGCCGGAGTCGCATCCTTTGCACGGGCCACGATGGCGCGTGCGTACCCGAATGCACTTGTACTGTAACTGTACCAGCGCACAGCCGAAGAAAGCGCACAGCCGTGCGTTTGCTGCGCCGGTCTGCAGGGGCGGAATCGCCTACGGAATGGCATGGGCGCGTGCGGACCCAGTACGCAATGGCTGCGTCCTGCGAGCACCATAGTGCCAAGCAATGGCCCGGCAGGAATGCGCGCCAGAAAAGGCTCTGTACGGTTCAAATTACTTAGCTGCGGTTTGTGACGGAATTTCCGCGGTGCGGACTCATGTCGGTGCGGAATAGATTTAAGACTACGAACTATGTACCATTTCAGGTATCGGGTACCAGGCACTAATGTAGGTCCTGCGATGGCTCGACTTCTGCGGCGGTGGAACGTCTCGTGGCCAGCGGGAATCTGCGCAGTGCGGCGGTGTGTCATCGCACGCACCGACGGGCGGCTGGGATGGAGATGTCTGTAGAGGGAAGAACGAGGAAGGGAGAAGGATCCGAGGACAGCGCATCGATGGGCGGGCATATCACATGGACATCGCATGCGGAGATGCGTGCAGAAGGAGAAAGGAGGAAGGAGGAGGCAGGAAGGAAGCAGGAGGAAGGAGAGGACTGCACCACATACGGCCCGCTTTCCGGGCGCAGATACGCGCAATTCCGCAATCCCACAATTCACACCCAGTTTCAGGCGCGCGTGTGTCGCGCAGAACATGAAACATAAAACGTGTCCACGCCCGGCATCCGCGCCGATCGGGCGGATCTGCAGCGCACCATTCGCGGGCGCGGGCGGGCCGCGGTGTCCCGCGGCCGGAGATGGCGACGCACGGACCGCACATCTGCCCGCGAACCGCGCCGAACGACCACGTGCATATACGTCCCGGCTGCGGAGTGCGATTCAGCGGGCGACGCAGCGAGTACCGAGGCGCGGCGCTGCAGGCAACAGTGTTGGTTTTCCCGGCCTGGCGGCCGCACAGATGAAGTGCACCGAAGGAGAGGAGGAGAGCGGGGGAGGGGAGCGAGTGCAGCGCCAGGAGGGCGCAGCGCTTCTTGGCGAAAGTAGCTGAATGTTGGAGGGGGAGGAGAAGGAGGAGGATGCGGCCAAGACATGTCGTGCCAACGCGAGGGCCGTGTCGGGGCTGGGTGGAGCACGCATTGAGTTGATATTAATGGTGGGCGGCGCGCTGCGAAGATAACTGGAAGAGAAGAGTGCCGGACGCGGTGTGGTGGGAAACTGCATGGCGCTGCATTCACCGGCGGTATTCTACACACGATACTCCTAGAACGCGTCAGCCGGCGCATCACACCCGGGACGAAACGCACGCACTAGGTATGTGCGCCACTGGTTTCCGCGGGAATCTACTCTCGACGCCACTCAAGAAAGGATAGGGGGGCGGAGCCATTTTCAGTGGGTGGTAAAGGGCGAGTGCGCTTATCAACTCGGACGGGCTGGCGGCTGAGTTATTAATGCGGGCGAGCCGCCCGGCGCCGGCTATGTTCGGACCGAGCGTGACAGTCACAGTGACACGCACGACAATGGACAGCACCAACGCGGCGGCGACGGCGATCCTGCGCACGCCCGTCCCCGACGCTGTCCTCGACACCATCGCGGGAACCGCGGACCGGGGCGTCAAGGCGCGCGCCGTCCAGTGGCTCGACATCTACCACGCCCCGCCCCGCTGTTTCGCGGGGCGCGCCGCGCGTCGCACGGCCGTCACCGACGTCTCGCTCGCGTCGGCGCTGGGGGGGGCGGGCGCGGGCGAAGATGCGCTCACGCTCGTGTGCGAGGTTGATATCACCGAGGGTAGGCTCTGCCGTACCTCGTACCGCTGTCAGTGACATGACTTTGACGCTGGTGCAGACAGCCTGAGCGCGGCGGACACGCTCGCGAACGCGGTCCTCGTGGCTGTCATCGATGAGTGCGCGGACCTTCCCTCTGCTGCTTTATGCGTGTCGTCTGACCGCGCGCAGATGCGTCTCCGCCGCCGTCAGCGCGCACGACTTCGCGTGGGGCGGTCCCGGCATGTCCGGCGTCTCGCTGAGCCTCAACACCGTGTTCCACCACCCCGTTGAGCTGTGCGTGCCGTTCCCTCCCAATTCCCATCCCATCCCGTTCTCTTCCTTTCCTTTCACCCGATATCTACTTCAATACTTACGGAATCGCAGCGGCGTGCGCCTCCGCCTCATCAACACCACCCTCGCCGTGACGCCCGGCACGACGTCCTGCCGCAGCGAGGTGCGTTCCTGTTGCCCTCCCACTCTCGCTAGTCATTCATTTTATTTCGCGCCTAATTTATTTATTCATTTCATCGGAGCAGGTGTGGGACCTCGCGCACGCACGACTCGTCGCGACCGCCGTGTTCGTCGGCATGGCGCCGCGCGCCCTGACGTCGTCCGTGCCGCGGCGGGCGAAGCTCTGACGGCGCGCCGACCAAGACGAACTCAAGTGTAAAGCGTAGATCCCGTGTATGTGGTACATGTATTAGAAGTCGGAGTGGCCTGACTAGGTGTATCTATTAGAACTCGGAGTGGACTGGCTATTGTGATTATTCGCTGCTGCTGGCTCGGCTTGGGGATGTCGTGGGGATGGCGTGTCGTGTCGTGTTGGGAGTGGGCTGGGCGTTCTTCGCCGGACGCACCTTCGGCACCCCGACAACTTCCAAGCGCGGCCTGTAGCTCACTCTGAATGAGTTTGGGGCTGAACGGGTCCCGATCGAGTCAACCGCGGAATTATAATTGCAACGTTCGTTGCACACGTAGGTTCGGGCGGGTGTATCCCGAACACCGCACACCTCACACAACATCGCCACGACGATCGTAAGCTTTCGCCTCGAGGCTGGGTGCATTTTCCTCGCATGCGAGAATCGAGCTCAAACGGCACAGTACTCGTGTAATTCAACGCGAATATTGATGAGACCGTAGCGCGCGCGGCGCCCACCTTCCGAGTGGTATGGTTGAAAGTAAAAGTACAGCGGAAGGTTGAAAGTACAGCGAACCAGAGCCGGACAAAGGTGATCGTGTCGAGTGTTATCAATTATTCTTCGCCATTGAACCTTGTCTGAAGGAGGCGGAGTGCAAAGGAAAAAATAATCTGTTACAAGAATATGACCCAGCCTGGAGTCGAACCAAGAACTCTCGCTGGACAAACTTAACGCCTACATCTATACACGGCGCGGGCGCGGACCGTCCGCTACTGGGTCTCTTTCCTCTGTAATTGAGCTCCTCTGTCGACTGTGGATTAGAAGGCGATTCTGAGCCAAACCGCTCTTACTAGGGTCTTAGCGGGCTCCCGAAAAAGGATCAGGACCTTATAACGACCCAGCCTGAAGTCGAACCAGGACTCTTGCTGGACAAACCTGATGATTTCTTGTGACAGAGTGCGGGCGCGGACCGTCCGCTACTGGGTCCCATTCTACGCCATGGAAATCCTGCGTCGAGGGGGAGGGCGAGAAGGAGGCACAGCGCACAGAAACAAAAGAAAGCAATTGATTCGGAACTCACCATGACCCAGCCTGGAGTCGAACCAAGCTAAGGGATTCCCGCACACCAGATCGAAGGATACAGGGCGCGGGCGCGGACCGTCCGCTACTGGGTCTTATTCCCATCTGATCACACCCTGCGTCGAGGAGGCGCCTGGCAGGGCGCAAAAGAAAAAAGAAGTTCCTACAGGAATACAGCATGACCCAGCCTGGAATCGAACCAGGAACTCTCGCTGGATAAATACGATCATTTCGCTTCCCCAGTACATGCGAGCGCGGAACCGTCCGCTATTGCGTCTCGTTCTCCGCCATTGAACTCCTGTGTCGAGGGCGAGTTAGAAGGAGGTGCAGAGCGCAACGCAAAAATATCCAACGACCGCAAGCTGTGACCCAGCCTGGAGTCGAACTAGGGATTCCCGCAGCGTGCCAGATGAATGGAAATAGGGCGCAGGCGCGGATCGTCCGCTACCGGGTCTTGTTCTCCTCCAATTAGACCTTGTGTCCACTTTGGGTTAGGAGGCACAACACACAGGAACGACAAAAGAAATCTGATTCGAAACCCGTGATGACCCAGCCTGGAGTCGAACCAGGAACTCTCGCTGGACAACTATGCTTATTTCGTTCCCTACACGGGCGGGCGCGGACCGTCCGCTACTGGGTCTTATTCCTCCGTAATCGAACTCCTGTGTCGAATGTGAGCTAGGGTCGCGGCGAATAATTTACAGAAGCAGAAGAACAGTGCAAAACACGGAAGGAAATCCAGCTCGCTCTCTGCGACGCGCCTCTCTGTAGAGATTCCCGCTGATGGACTCCAAACTTTTGAAAACAAATATTCCCGCTCTACCGCCAAAATATTTTTGGTGACCGTACACGTTCGTACATGGTTCGGTTACGTGCGCGAGTTCTGCGATCACCGACGGTCCAACCCTGTAATCACGAAGCGTGGTGCGACCCGGATAATAATAGTTTTACAGTAATGCTCTGAGTGGGAGTCATCCAAGAAAAGGACCCAGAGTCCACGCGCGAAATACAAAATTGCTGGGTAAAAAACCCTGATAATAGACTCGTAATCGACTGCATACTCACCAACGACAGAAAATGGGGCAGGAAAGCAATAAACAAACCGCTGGTCCTTAAGACCTGGCGGAAAGTATTGGAAAATGAAGACAGCCTCCCTAAAGACTGGACTAGGGAAGTCGGGGTTTTAGTGGGTATTGGCCGAGTGGACGATGAGGAAAGTCCGGTGGTTCGCCACCAGAGGGTTCCAAGGCCTCCCTCTACAGCGGGTGGAAGGTGATCGACTACTATGCCGGCCCGAATGATGTGTTTGACGGCGCCGCCTGCGGGCATCGGAGGGCACTGACAGGGGGCAACATGCCTTTATCTTTCACAATTTTCAAGCAATGTTGCACAAATAAAATAGAAAATAAAAAAGGGGGTGCGTGTAGCCGTCGCCGGGCGGGGTCGTCCTCGGCCGCATTGACTCAGCCGAACGCTGCCCGAGCCTGCCCGAGTTGATAAGTTCTTAGCCCGCTGGTTCTTCCTTTGCTGTTACTAACCCAAGCACCCCCAATGACGCCCCCCTGGGAAGCCTTCCTGCGAGCGCTCCCCGCCGCCCCGGACGTCAATGCCGCGCAGATCGCGGGCAACGGCCCCACCGTGCAGAAAAAGCTCAACGCGAACATCCTCGCGTACTTCACCACCGGCAGCGGGCGCCGTTCCTGCCGTTCGCGAGCGACATCGGGTGCCCCCTGCGCATCGTTGCACTCAACGTGTAGGGGGACACGGCGGAGGTCGTGCTCGGGATCGCGGTGACGCAGAGTGCGTGGTGACCGCGTTCCCCTGATTTTTTTTTTGACGAGGTGGGTAGGCATGTGCAATGTGTACGGGACAATGCACGGCGAGTGCGCGGCGTACATGCTTGACCCGTGCGTGCTGCCACTCGCATCTCAGTCGGATGTAGCGTACAACTTGACAGCCTTTCAGCGCGAAGGTCGCCCCGGCAATCCTCCTCGGCCTCGCCAAGGGCTTCGACGGCACCGGCGTCTCACAGTCCATGAACGTCCACTGGCACCACCCTGCCCCGCTATGCGTTTTCTCCCTCCCTCTCTATGTCCCTCAGTCTGTCCCTGTCCTTCTCCCTCGTCTCCCTCTCCTTCTCTTTCTCCCTGATAATTAATTACTTAACTTCCGAAGGGGCGCGACGGTGAGCATCATCACGCGCTGCATCTTCGCGGACGGGCGCGCGCGGCTATCGTGCTGGGAGGTGTATCTTGCTTTCCCTTATTCCCTCCGCCCTCTTCCAACCTGTTAACGAAACACAGATTGGAAAACTAATTGTCTCCAGCACGCACATGTTCCTCAACGCCGGGCACGCGGTCAAGCTCTGAGTGCGCCTGGTGCTCGGCGGGCGTAGATGAGTAAACTGCTGCGGGTTCGAGCAGTAGTATATACAGTGGCGCTACAATGTTCTGCACGCGCTCGTTTGGGCTCGTCTCTGGGCCAAATGACCTCAAATAAAATCTGACCATGACCCCTGAGTAATTTCGTGAGGATCCATGTAGTTTAACCCATACCTTGCTGGTTCCGATCTCGCGAAATTAATTAATTCAGGGTTGTCTGGAAAATCGACTCTGTGGATTCAGATTTGATCGAAAATTGGTCTCCGTAGGCTGAAAGTACTTGAAAAATGGACCCCAGTCACATTTTATTCGACATAGATTGCCGGGGTTTTGAGCTCACAGTGAGGCCTCGAAGTTGGCAATTTTCAGTATTTCTGGCCATTTTCTGCCAAAACTGCTCGAAATAGCCAACTTGCACGGGCGTGTGTGAGGGCAACCCCAACCGATTCAGGTGAACTAAAGAATTAGGAAGGTCAATTTTAGGAGTACTTTCGGCTTGTGTATATATGGGGGTAATAGTGTAACATTATTATTGCCCATTTCGGAGAAATTTACACAGGTGTTTCGCAAAATTACACAGGTGCTTTTTCAGTTTTACACAGGTGCCAAACTGTTAGAAAATACGCACCTGTAGGAATTGAAAATTTTACACCACTAAGAATATCTGCCAAAATGCACAGGCTCAACTTCAGCCGGAAAAGGCACAGGTACGGAAAGCGAAAACAAAACACAGTCTCGCAGATTCAGATTTTTGGGCACCTTCCAGTTTGAATACAATGCACACCTCATTTGAAGTGGTAGAAATATGCACCACCTCAAATTATACTTCTTTCCTGATCGTCCGGGGATCTGACTTCCCTTTTTGGTAATGGTTTTTGAGTCCGTTCTTGGCAGTATAGGGGCATTCCTACTCCTACTGTGTGGTCTACTGCAGCTTTCACAATGGTGTGTAGGAAATTTGGTTTCATGTACAGTAAGAGAAGGGCACAGCGAGTTGGGGAGGGAAATGGATAGGTGTTCGAATTTCACCTCCAGTCCGGCTTCGATAGTAACCTGCAGATTGCTGAGATTTTGAGACAGGATGAGGAAGTTCTGCACGCAGTGAATTCCACGAGAAGTACAGTTAAAACCACAGGGAGGTAGAAGCGAGGTAGAACATCTTGCAGTATTGAGTGTAATCCAAGTGAAATGTCACGTTGAGGTTGAAGACTATTTTTAGTTGCAGCGGTTAATTCGGGAACATATGAGCTGCCTAATAACGAATGTGCGCACACGGGACGTGCCTGATATGTGGCACAGCGCAGAGCCCCACCATAGTCGTACAGTCCGGGCAGGGTGTGTGAAGGATGACCCCAACCGGAGATATGAGGGATGCTGCAAGTAAGATTGTTCGTAGGGAGAGTACTGCGCGCATGTCATTTGATTGTACAAATGGGGTTGAATCTCGGTGAATAGCTGGGGATGGAAGAGTGCCACAAAGGGGGAGGACGGGAAACAGGAAGGAGAAACATTGTCAAACAAGCGAGGAATCTCATAAAGAACCATTAAGTTAATTAATGAGGTCCCACGGTTTACAGCGAGGATCATTTGATCCTACTCCGGAACACCAATGAGGGGTACAAGTCCTAGGACCGGTGTATTTCTGGGAGTGCATGTGGATGTGTTTTTGCTTTCAGAGGGGAATACCTGTGTGTTTGAAGAGAACACAGGGCAGTGAAAATTATTCTCGCTATTGAAGGTGTGCATTTTCCTGCTATATGAACCTGTGTATTTTCTGAGCGCTGCACGAGGTTGTGTATTTTTTTAAGGCATGTCGGGACCTGTGTAATTTTTGAACTGGATAGGGTGTGTAAATTCCAGCTTACTTGAGCCAACCTGTGTGTAAAAACTGCAAATAGCTTGGAGCAGTGTAATTTATCTTCAAAAGGCTGAGGTGGTGTTTCAAATAATAATGTTACACTATTACAGCCATATGGGGGTAATACTGGGACATTATTATTGTCAATTTCATGGAAAAATTACACAGGTGTGCACCAGATTTGCACAGGTGCTTCTATCATTTACACAACTATTACAACATGGAAAAAAACACACCTTCAAAAGTTTGCGTTATTTACACTGATCAAATTTCCTCAGAAAATACACAAGTTGATATCCGTGAGAACACACAGGTAGGCCTGGCTAAAAAAAAGAAACACAACCATCAGGGCTTCATATTTTTGCACACCCTTTGAATTCCAGCATATTCACCACCTGTGTTTGTCCTTCAGAAAGACACTGCATTATGCCTCCTGAAAATGCATGTACATAATACCTTGTCCCAGCCTGCCGGCCGGTTGTTCGCAATTGGCTAGAGCCAACAATCAAATACTAGTGGTGCTGACGGAGGCGTCCTGTAAATAATCTAAACAGTGTGCTGAGCAAAAGCACAGCCGGAGGCTCGACTGCCGCAGCCCTGGCCGTATCCTTTGCAGTTTGATTCTCTCCTGGTCTATCATGCGTACTTTGATTGGACGCCCATCGTTGCTATTTCATTTTATTATATTTTCCATACCACCCTGTAGCACGATGCTGGTCATCTTTCTGAAATATTGGTACAACATCTATGTCGAGGCCGCCGGGGACAATAATGCCACATTGGAAGAACGGTGCTCGTTGCGATGTCGTCCACTGAAGATTCAGGCACGGATGACCTCTGCCGGTGTCATAAAGCGGGAATGGACTGATTTCCTGGCACAGTAGGACACATTTCAGCCTTGATCCTGTGTTCGACATTCAAGTGGGAGGGAATTCAAGGTCCGCAAGCCGGTTGTGCAACTATGTGCTCCACTCCGTGACATAGAAGCCGGTTGGTCCTCCCGTTGCGCCGGGAGAAATATGTGGATCGTGTTATGGACAAACCGAAGAAGGGCCTTCCAGAGTCCACTCAACAACGATTACAGACATTCGGGGCATCACATCCACTCTAGCTCTACTCCAACAGAACTGCCTTACATTGACACCCAAGCTCGTACATAATTGCTTTCCCTTGACTCAATCCCTAGGGTCACACACTGAAGAGGTTGTAGATGCTATCATGCTAGGCTCCTGCTAATAGGTATCATCGCGTCGTCGTGCCCTGGATGCGGATCACTGGTATCATGGTCCTGCACGGCTCCTGTCCCAGTGGAGCATGGCCCTGTACTACATATGAAGCAGGTTGCATAACTGTTTCCGAGTTCGTCAGCACCAGTGCATTTTCGAAGAGGTTGGAGGTGTG